AAAAAGATGTGGTTTGTATCTACAATGGAATATTACTCAGCTATAAAAAAGAATGAAATCTTGCCATTTGCAATGACATGGATGGAGCTAGAGTATAATGTTAAGTGAAATACGTCAGTCAGAGAAAGACAAATACCATATGATTTCATTCATATGTGGAGTTTAAGAAACAAAACAAATGAGCAAAGGGAAAAGAGAGGAAGAGAGAGAGAGAAATCAAGAAACAGACTCTCAGCTATAGAGAACACACAGATAGTTCGGGGTGAGGGGGGAGTAGGTGAAATGGGTAATGGGGATTAAGGAGTGCACCTGTCATAATATTCACCAGATGATGTATGGAAGTGTTGAATCACTATACTGCACAACTAAAACTAATACCACACTGTATGTTAACTTAAAAAAAAAAAAAAGATGAAGAAGAAAAAGAAAAAAGACAAAAAGCCTAGCGAGAATGAATCATGCGCTCAGGTTTAAGAACCTTCTCATCCTCCACTGAGCCCTTTTGATTCCAGGCAAGTTCAAGTTTAACATATATAACATATCCCGAAGTAAGACTTTTGACTTGCTAAGGTTTTGCCTTGGTAGATAATTTTCTGATTTATAATTAGCCACATGTTTCTATAATCTGAATCAAGAATGCTTTGCACATGGTAGGCCTGCAAAAAAAATTAAAAAGGTCTGCTTAATTTAATAAGTGAATTCACTAACTTCTCAGGTGCCCAAGAGGCTTCATTATAAAAGACTAATTGTAAGGAATGTTTGGAAATCTGAATTTTAAATAAAGCGCATTTGTCTGAAATCTAAGTATCAAAAATATCAGATGTTAAACAAGTTTGAAAATTATTGAAACCAGGTGACAGAGACATGAGGATTCATTGTACTAATTTCTCTACTTTCATGAATGTTTGGAAAAGTCCATAATCAAAAAGTAAAAAAAATTAGGATATAAACAAATATAGAAAAGGTCTCAGAATTCCTTCTGCCTTAAGTGACCATGAGATGAGCTAAGATATAAGCTTAGCATGTCTAAAACCTGCATAGAACCAGAATGAATATAAATGAAGGGGACCAAAAGCAAAACATAAAACAGGATTTTCTTTATTGGGACCAGGCAAAGCCAGCCTTCGTCAAAGCATAAACTGGAAAGTTGGTGCATGAGGTTGAGAAAGGCAGGGCAGCCTGGAACTATGCCTGACAGTCTGTATATCTGTGGGCTGTGGGCAGTACACACTGTGGGGTCCATTCCTCTCTGGTTAATTCTATGCCACTGAGACAGGGAAAGAGGCATAGGAATAAAATCCTCTGCCCAAGGTTCTCCAACCACTGCCAATGCATTTGTCATGACCTGCACCATCACCTTGCAATGTTAGCAGCTCATCCCTGAGGTATACATGACACCAATTAGCTTAATATTAGACTATCCTATTTTTTTAAGATTTTACTTATTTACTTGACAGAGAAAGAGACAGAGAGAGAGAGAGGCGGGCAGAGGGAGAGGGAGAAGCAGACTCCCTGCTAAGCAGGGAGCCCGACTCAGGGCTCGATCCCAGGATCCCGGGATCATGACCTGAGCGGAAGGCAGACACTTAACTGAAGGCCGACACCTAACCGACAGAGCCACCCAGGCACCCCTAGACTATTCTATTTAAAAAAAAAAAAGATGACAAAGAAGAAGAAGGTGGGGAGAAAAAGAGGAGGAGGAGGAAAGTGATCTCTTTTAAGGACATATGTATAAGCAGAAAACTAACAGCAATTTATAAAATCTTAATAAAACTTTTACAAGGAAGTATAGGAGCCATAGGTTAATGTTGCTTTAACCTACATTATAAGGAAAAAATCACAGCTCTGAGTCCACTTTCCCCCCAAAATCTCAGAGATGTCTGTCTTCTACTTTCGTGACAATAGCAAATATGACTATATGGGGAGAAGGGAGAACATATTACTAAAACTTTCTCTACTTATTCACAATGACAGAACTTTTCCCTACACAGCATGGAAACAATTTCACTGTGAGATATATGAAATTAAAATTTTTTAAAAAATAAGAGAAATAGGAGAGTAATTCACACGTTACATTGAGCCATAGAAAGTATTTTTAAATATTTCCCATAAATACTAGTAGCACCAGTAATTACCACTTGAGCAATTTCTAAAACAGAAACAACTGTCACGAAAAGCCACAGACTTAACACTAGGAATGAAGGTACAGTCAACACAAGGCGTATTTTCATCTTTCAGGAGGTATCACTCTGTAGAGCGCCTAACATCAAAAGCACCTGTGTGTATTGTACACACGATACTCCTAAAGGCTATGATTTTCAGAAGGATGTGAAATAAACACATGAGACACTTCTCATATGTATTATAAGTAAACACTGTATTTTGAAATCAGTTTTAAACTGTAGACAAACCAGAATGTAATGCTAAGGTGATATTACCAGAAAATCATAAAAACATACTCTGAAGTATAAAAATACATTTGAGAAAAACAAGAATAGCAATCACACAAATCACTTTTGAATTCTTAGAAAATGGGTAAATTACAAAACACACTTTAAAAATATTCATGGGATTAATATGTTAGTAGATGTGCACTTATGAATTGTCACACCAGTGGCAAAATCACCATCAAATGTAAAATTTTACTTGTTATTAAAATATGGTCAATATTTAAGCAAACCAAAATATGCAATATGGGAAAGCAAGGACAGCAAACACAGAGCAGCAGTGGGGATATTATCTGATCCTTTTTCCTTATCCCAAGGCAGATAGCAAGCATCAGCCAGTGCATGCTTTCTCCCTGGGCCCAAACAAACCATCAGAATCATTTCCAAACAGAGCATGTCAGGTAGCGACTACCAAGAGACCACACACAAAAATATGAAATTGAAAGACCAAAATTCAAAGACCAAAATCCATCACTGAAACAACATCACAAACCTGAATGCAATGACAACCTTAAAAATCCATTAGTAAGAAACAAGGGAATAGGCTGTTTTCTCTGGAGAAAAGCAAGCATACTCTTGAGAGTATGAGAGAGCACTTTGCGTGCTGACAATGAACATACGCAGGCCAGGAATAAGAGTACTGATAAAACAGAAAAAGTAGTAATACCCTTTTCAATATAAGCAATACATTCTCTCATTCTCTACTCAGTAAGGTAGGGGAATGATTTAAGGCACGAAGGGTCCTAAATTTTCATGGATCAACAACAAAATAAGAAGTAAAGAGTTGATTTACGGCATTAACAAAGATATCAAATACTTAACACTTACTTTTGCGAAAGCTTCAAAAATGTCAAAGGAAGGTGGCAGCTGAGAAGCATCCTGGATTTCTTCTCTCATGAAATGTTGAAATGTCATTACAAGTTGCCTGAGGCCCTCTTTCTTATCTTCAGTCATTTTGTTAATATCTTTTTTAAAGAGAGAATAAATAGCACAATCACACAGTAAATTTTTAATGGACAATTTTCAGGTGTTCAATACTAGCTGTTAAACCAGATTTATCCTCTCTAGATTTCATTCTGACAGAAAGCAAATACGTTCCTTTTTTATTTTTTCGCAACTACATATTACAATACATACATTATCAATTAAATTGCACCAAACTTCATCTACAATGTAAGAGCAAATACCTATCCAAACAAAATAAATACATGTACAGATGAAAAACACTACAACCCAAATCAGGAAAGATGTGTGTTACAGGTCCCCCACATCACCCTGGACATCACAAGTGCATCAAGTCAAGTGAATTTAAGCAGATCTTCCCATGAAACAATTTTCAACCAGGTCATGACCAACTGATAAACAGTATATCTCAAAGGAAAAAACAAAACCAAAAACAAAAGAAAACAAAAAGTAAAAAGCTCAGCTAGAGTCCAACTGGTGAAATGTGTCACATAAAAAGTCCATTGAGAAGAAAACAGGGACCAACCCAAAAAATCTCGACTTCAAGTTATTTCCAGACTGAATAAACAAGATGCGGTGCTGCTAAAACCCAAACAGAAGGAGAAGGTTCCAGAGCGTAGTTGTCAAAAAATCACTCCATTGAAAACTCAATTTAATTTTTACCACAAAAAGGTGTTAAGGCTAAGAGTGTACAATTAATAATGTTTGAGAACATTTCACTTAAGACAGCATGGATGACACCACTACTGAATAGGGCTACCATTAATAGTAAGACTCACAGCAAGAGACGTTAATTACTTAGCAGTAATATAACACAAAAAATGACTAATTAGTTCTCTATTAAAACTGAAAAGATGTATCAAGTTGAACTACAGCATAATTCTGGGGCTCATGTCAGCTCTACATATTCTTTTTAAATTACTTGTTCAACAGAACAATTAACCCAATGATTTCTTAAATAATAATTTATTATCATTGGCACTTAGGATCCCATAACCATAAATCTGTACTAGATCATTTTCGTATTTGTCTCCACCCAGAAATATTAAACTCTGTAGCAAAGTTTACTCTATGAGCTCTGGCTACTTTGGGGTTGAAGTCATGGACAACCTCACTGAAGGGGATCTGTCCCAGTATGAAAGGAACATAAACCCTACATTGACTGAACACTCAGATTGGAGGGCCTGTCAGTATTCCCAAATATCCTGGCCATCACCACAGGAGTAGAAAAGAAGAACAATGCACAATGCTGTCAGACAGCCCAAATCACCTATACCATCTACTTTGCCTCTAATCTAAAGGACCATGGGGCACCTGGATGGCTCAGTCGTTAAGTGTCTGCCTTTGCTTAAAGTCATGATCCCAGAGTCCTGGGATCATGCCCCATGTCAGGCTCCCTGCTCAGCGGGAAGCCTGCTTCTTCCTCTCCCACTCCCCTGCTTGTGTTCCCTCTCTCGCTGTGTCTCTCTCTGTCATATAAATAAATAAAATCTTTAAAAAATAAAATAAAAAAATAAAAATAAATAAAGGACCAGTGACCCCAAATGTTCCCTGGAACCCCCTTGTTCACATCACTGTTCCCTGGCATCAAAAAGAAACAAAGATCAGGTTCTAGTAATTTACAAACTCCTAAAAGGCCACTACCCTAGAATAAATTAAATAAGCTAATGTGTCAAGCATATATAAAAACATGAAAAGGTTTGTTAGATTTGCCTCACATAATAAGGAAACAGAAAAACAATGTTAAAAAGAAAGCAATGCACAAGGTCAGCAAATAAATGATAGGATTTTTTTGGTGCTGATAGACACTTACTTGACTCCAGATCATAAAATGAGTAAAGTTTCTCCGATTCAGACGGTGTTTCTTCCATCTATGAGGCAAAGGGGGAAAACACCAAAAACAACTTCAAGTGCTCCCATATATCAATGAATAAATTTGAATCTCTTTAGATATTGAAATGAAACTCTATTTAATGAGACAATGCTGCATATATTCCTCCTCTTCATCACTTTCTGAGAGTTGAATTATTCAATCAGTAACAATTTTAAAATAAAATCTGTTATGACTTACCCCATCAATTTGATTTCCAATTGGAAAATTCTTTTATAAGAAGTTCTCATACTTTTATTTCTTTTCCCCAGCTCTACCCATAGACTTGTATCACTGTAAGGATTTTACTACTAATCATTATAGAAAAGCAAAGATGGATGAATAAAAATAAGAGTTTACTACAAACTGCAACCTTCACCAAATTACCTTACCTTAAGTCAAAAGTCATCAATGTCCTTATCTAAAACATAGGAGAATCATAGATTCCCTGGGTTCCTGTGCGGATGAAATGAGGTCTATCCTGTAAAGTAATTAGCACGGGGCCTAGAAATCCTAAGTGCTCAATAGACCGTATCTATTATTATTATTATTATTATTATTATATTATTATTATTATCAGTGCTTTCTATTAGATTCTGATCCAATTAATAAAGTAAAAAAAAAGTTCAGCTTCAAATATAATGATCATACTTTTAATATCTAGCAACTAAAGAAATGCATAACAAAGTTGATCTGAATTTATTAATGCTTTGAAATAAATTTGTATTTTTTAGTTCAACACAATATATATATTTGCAAATTAGTAGCTAAATATATGATAGGTGTTATATACTCAGTCCAAAGACAATTCCCATTTGGTATTCCACATCCAGATTTTTTAGAAGTGAGATAAATTGATATATAACACTGTGTTAGTTTTAGGTGTAAAAACATACTTTTACATGATTAAAACTCTCTATAAAATTTTATAGCCTTCCCCTACCCCAAAAAAGTCAATAAACAACAGGACAGAACAGAGCTGGAGCCTGAAATAATTTGAGAAAGAGACATTCACATGAAAGCTTTTGGTAAAAGGGAGTCTGGAGGGTATCGCCACAGAACCCAGTGCTGGTTTAGGCAGAGTAGGGGAAAGACTGAAGAAGCAATCTCAGTGAAACCGGTCTATAAAAAAAAAAAAAAAAAGCACTCATCCATGTAAGAGTAATTATCATCATCATGTGATTAATAGGGAAATGACAAGTTTTTGTCTTAAGATACTCCTTGGTATAATCTACCTTCTACCTTCACATGGGTTTAAAGTAGGCCTTAAATAATAATAATGAGGCATCTGGGTGGCTCAGTCAGTTAAGCGTCCTACTCTAGCCTTCTGCTCAGGTGGTGATCTCAGGGTCATGAGATCGAGTCCTGC